TGGCAGACAGAAGGTTGCGGAATCTGTTTGGAACCTGGCTCTGATGTTGTCCCCTAGCAGCAGACACTTAAAGATATGTACGTTCAGCAGTGGAGATGGGGTCTGGACATCTTGCCGTCTGGTGTGTTCACGCAGCCCTGGGGTTGCTGGGGGAGGCGAAGGCCATGTGCTTCCCGATCGGGTGAGACAGCATGTTTCTCTAACCTGACAGTTCTGCCCTCCACCAGCGGCCACCAGCGGGTCCCACACAGAGTGCCGGGGATAAAAAGGCATTGTGACGGCGAATGGCCGGAGGGGAACCCTGTGCCCAGACGTGTGTTCTCAGCCCGGCACTCATGGGCAGACACTCTTACCCCTCCCATTTCACAGATGTGGACACTGACCCAGGCCCAGAGAGCTGAAGAAACTCGCCAGCTAGCAAGTGCTGGAGGACAGGATGGCCCTGGCCTCCTGGTGTATCACCTGGGCGCTTAACCACTGCACGGGACCCTGGGAACCCACCGTGGGGGCAACGTCGGGCATCCAGGGCCAGAACGATTTTTGCCTCTTTGATGATGCCCCCCACCATTCACTATGGGAGTGGGCTGTTCTAGTGATGGTGGGTGGTGGGGGGGGTGGGGTCAGAAGGGGATGGAGAAGACAGGTGAGCAGTGGGTGGGAGGACCCGTCTCTGAGATTCTCGGGGGCGTTCCCCTCTGTGGACTGGCCTGGGTGCCACCTGTGGGCTCCCCCTAGGCACCTGTCGTCGGCAATAGCACTGTCCCTCTGCGGGTGTGGACGATACAACGTCCCCAGGGAGCAGCCACTGTACCCCTTCCCCAACCCTGCCAAGGAACCATCCCCAACTGCAGTCCACCGATAAGGACACCGAGGCTCAGAGAGGTAAAGTCATGTGTCCCCAGCCACACTGCCGTGAGGGATGGAGCCAGGATTCCAACCCGGTAGGCCTGGTGGGCACGTGTGGGTGCGTGCCAGCTCTGGGGCCCCTCGGGCCCTTACCTTCTCCGGGTGGAAAAGGATGTTCCCGAGGCCCTGTAGGCTCAACGCGCGGACCTCGGGGCTGGGATCCCTGAGGCTTCGGGCCAGCACAGTCAGGACGGCCTGTCTGGGGAGCACCTCCAGCAGCGTGGGGCTGTAGAGGAACTGGGGCAGTCCCCGAGGGCGGGCGGGTCAGGCTCTCGTAGGGAGCCTCCGCGTGTGTCCGGGAGCAGGGCTCCAGGCCCGGGGTCTGGCAGGGGTGTTGGGGAGGGCAGCCACCAGCACCCCCGGGGGTATCTTGGTTAACAAGTACTTGAATCCTCCTTCCCAGCTGGGTCAACTCTTTGATGTCTCGCTGGGGAAACTGAGGCCCAGAGGGGGAAGGGGTCTTGCCTAATGTCACAACGCAGGACTGGGGCCAATGGCCTGGCTCACGGGACACCTGTGGGGACAGAGCCCCGGGGAGGGTGGCTTGGACATCCCTGCTGGTGGCGGGTGGGGTGGTGAGTGGCACCAGGCTTTGACTTGGGTTTCTCCCCACTGAGGTCATTTAGGGACATGCCACACGGCGCCCCCGCCCAAGCCCTGCCGTGGCCCCTGCCTCAGTTGCAAAGTCTGCCACGCCCAGCTCCTGTCTTGCTCTAACCTGTGCCCTCTTGGCTCAGGGCGACCTGAGCCCCGCTCTGCCTGACCGACCAGCTCTGTAGGGGTGGGGGCAGGGCGGGACAGGTGGAGCGATGGGGTCCCCCCCGGGCCACTGACGGGGGAGCTGCTAAGTGGGGGACCCAGCCCCAGACCGTGGGCCGCCCTGGGGACGGGAGAGGGAAGGAGCGGGTGTGAGGGGTCCGTCTGGCGGGGCCTCCGCCCACGAAAGGTCCTGATGGGGCACCGAGGTGGCTGGAGGAGGCGGCTGGGTCTGAGGGGCTCCCCCTCCCCCTGTCCAGGCCGCTACCTCGACGAGGATGAGGATGGCCGTCTTCCGCTCCCGTTTCTCCTCGCTGGTCACTGCCTTGATCTGCCCGCAGCGGTTCTGAACCATGGCCCTGGGGCGAAGGGGGGAGGGCAGGGGGAGGGCAGGGGGAGGGCAGCGTGGCAGGCTCGACCTGGCGTCCACCCTGCCACCATCACCTGACCCAGCTGGGGCTGAGCGGCCAGAGCTGTCCCTGCGGGTGGGTGGGCCCCCATTCCCTTATGTCCCTCTGTACCCGCTGGCCGCGCACTGGGTTCCGGGCCCGGACTGGGCCTATGGGACACGAGGAGCAGGCCCCTAGGCGGCCTCCGCAGGGGTGGGGCTGGGAGAAGACACCCGTGTCCACAGGCCCCCGGTGGGCGTGCACGTGGCCAGGCACCGGGGCACCGACTTCCGTGCCACAGGGCCGAGCGCGCGCACGTGTGAGTTCGCGGGGCCGTGCTCACGGGCGGACCCGAGGCGTCACTGTGGTCGATACACCCAGCTTCCTGGACAAGCAGTGGCCCGGCTCAGGCCCTGGCCCCTGCCCTGGCCCCCGCTCGTACCTGGCGAGGAGACCCACGCCCTGCGGGTAGGTGCGGGTGGTGGCAAAGAGCTCCCAGGCGCCCCGCAGCTCCAGGTGGGCGAAGTCCTGCCAGTGCCCCGTGGTGGACAGCAGACCCTTCAGGGCCTCCAGCGACGTCCTGCCGGGGAGCAGAGGGGGTCACCGAGCCAGCCCTGCCCCCGGCGAGGGTGCCCGGCCGCCCTGGATGGAGAGGGACATTCCAGCTCCTGTCTGGGCTCAGGGCCCCAGTGGCCTGGAGGCCTCCCTGGGCCTGGGGGTGAGCTGTGCTGGGGGAGGGGGCAGCGTGAGGACACTCGGGCCCGGGCCTGTGCTCTATGGTCAGTTGCCGGGGCCAGGGCCCGGAGGGTGCCCCCCTCTAGGAGGGAGGGTCTGAGATGGGTTCGGTGCACAGCAGGGTGAGGTGTGCTTGCAGAGCCTCAGAGGACACGCGTCGCGTCCGTGGCTGGCTCTCCAAGGCTGCGGCTCGGGGGGGGGGGGGGGGGGGGGGCAGGGCTGGAGGGTGCTTCGGAGATCGGCGGTCTCCCAAGTCACAGGTACAGAGGGTCCCGGCTGAGCCTTGGAGGGATGGTGCCCTTTGAATGTGGGGCCGGGAGGAGGAGGAGAGCTGGGGGGGTGTGGCGTCACGGAAGCCCAGACAGGTGTCCGTTCGGCACTCCCGACACCCCTCTGCCTTCAGAGGGCGCAGAGAAGCCAGGTTCCGCTGGCCGCGTGCGCACGGGAACTCAAGAAAGTTTGCCGGACACACGGCAGGGCGGGATGGCGAGCTCGAGATCCAGTGCCCTGTCTGTCCCCGTCACACGCCTGGCCGGGGGCAGCAGAGGGGAAGAGCGGCGAGGCCCCTGGCTCCACAGCTGCACTGTGACAGCTCGGTCACGGGCCTAGGGCTGTCCAGGCACTGCAGGCAGGACACGGGGCGCGGGCCCGCGAGGGCAGGCCCGGCTCCCCCCACCCCACCACCCTGCGCCTTGTCACGTCCGTCCTGGCCCCACGCGACAGGCCGCATCGGCCTGGATGTGTGAGCCGGCGCCCGGAATGAGGCTATCAGCGAGGACCAAGCACGATTCCGAGCAGATTTGCCAAACCGAGTGTCCCGGGATGGAATTTCCAGGGGCCCCCACCCAAACCCCGGAAGCGGGCCTGCTGGAGCCCACGGGGACCCTGTTTGATTCCGTGTTTTCAGGAAGCGCCACAGTTTTCTGAGCGGCCGCAGCCCTGTACGTTCCCGCCACGGCGGTGGTTTTCTCGAGGTGGCCTGTGTCGCCGGCCTCCGCCGCCTTGGCCGTGCGTGCAGATGGGCCGAGGCCAGCAGGGAGGGTGCAGGGGTGAAGCCTGCCCTGGACACTGGGCTGGATTCGTGTGTCTGACCTGCCGATGCCTCAGGCCCCGACTGCTGCTGTTCCCAGTAACACGACGCGGAAATGAGGCCCGGCCTCCTCTTTCCCCACCTGGAGTCCAGACGCCCTCTCGGGAGTCCCCTGGTCACATGTTAGCTGCAGGAGGGCAGCGCTGGGTCTCCCTCACCTGGACATTGCCCACTCTGACCACCCATCCCCAGTGCCAGTTGGACCCTGCCACTCCCTCTGCATAGAGCCCTCCGTGGCTCCCCACTGGTCGGTGTGGAGGCTGCTTTCAAGGCCTCCTTCCTGTTCCCGCCCCGCTTGTCCCCTCCCCCCAAGGCTCTGTGCCCTCCCAGCCCCCACCCAGGGACCTCAACCACCAGTGAGGTCTCAGCCCAGGTTCTGGGTCCTCAGGGACTACACGATAGGTGGTCATCCTCTGTGGAGGTGATGACTCTCAGGGCACTCTGCACAGTGTGTCAAGCACCCAACTGTCACCGGGCTGCCACCTGACCCCCATGTGCGTCTCCACGGGGCTGTGAGCTCCCTAGCAGAGGGGCCCGCCTCTGGTGATGAGCGTGGTCTGGGACACAGCAAGCACCCGTCGATATTTAAGTGCTGACAGTGGGGCACACAGTGGTCCCCCAGCAAGTGCTGACAAGGTGGCCCTTCTGCCTCTCTTCTCCTCCAAGAGCCGCAGGGAGCATGGAGCGGGAGGCAGGGGCACCGCCGAGCCAGGGGCCAGGGGCCAGGGGCCGGGCTTGGCCAGGAATGGAGGTGGGTCCGGGCAGGGCTGTGGGGGCCCTGGGGTGGTAAGGAGAGGACAGGCGGGACCGAGTCCTGTGCCTTCTGTCGGCCCCTCCCTGCTCAATCCCTGGGAAGTCACATCTCCCTGCAGATCCCAGGGCCCCTGCCCGCCGGGCAAACGGACAAGAAGATGCTGGGGCTGGGGTCATGCCATCGAACCCTTCACCTTTGCCTTGACCGAGGCCCGGAGTGTTGACCACTCGTCCAGGGCCGAGTGCTCACAGGGGAGGTTAGGATGAGGTCTTCGATCTCAGATCCGGGACCGAAGAGCATATCGTTATGAATTGCTCGTTTGCTCCTTGTCAACTGCCAAAAACCAGGACTGTGAACAGTGTTTTAAATAAAGAGCTTTACCCTGAAACCTTTACGTTTAAAAGACAACTAATTGGAAGGAGGTGAGAAACAAAAAGGAAGCACCAAGTACTATAGGGAGGTTCCAAATGTTAACTTTACATATGAGCTTCCTGGCAGCCAGGGCAAAAAGGAAAATATGTTGGCTGTACTCAGAAGTGGTCCAAGAGAGTGTCTTTGAAATAAAGAGAAATCAGATGCCCCATGAGAATAAGAGAGTTGGTCCATGATGGAGAAACTAAAGGGATGAGAAGTCCTTCATGGGGCAAGACGGGTCCCGGAGGAGAACCCAGCCGAGAAGTGACCAAAGCAGTTAAGTCTCTAAAGAAAGAGGCTTTGTTTGTCAGAGATACAAAGGAAAGGGACCCACAGGGAGGGCGGTGGTGTCTTTGCAGCCCTGCTGGGGAAGGTGTGCCATGCCCACCCCCCACTTGCTGGTCCCAGAGGCTGGCCCAGCTTAGCAGGGTGTCAGGGACTTCAGAGGCTTGATCCTGCCTCACTGGGGTGCCCCCTGGTATCTGGTGCCACCCCCATGCTGCTGGGGGCACCACAGACAGGAGGCCTCTCGGCAGCGGGTGCCCCGATCCCCTCCTTGGCCTGTGTCCCTCTTCATGGTGCCACATCCGCCAGGCGTCAGACCCTGGACCGCAGTGGTCGCTGGGTAACAGTGGCTGCCCGTGTCCCCACCATCCGGACTATTTGCTGGCCCTGCTGCTGGTTGGCCTGCCCTTCCTTCGGGCCCTTCGGGTTTTCCTCCGGGCAAGGGGGGCTCGGTTCTGCCCCAGCCCCAGGGAGGGTGTGGGAGCCCCACCCGGTCAGAGCCCCATGGGCCCCTGTGGCCGAGGCGATTGGCTCACGGGTGAGCATGTGATCCAAGACCGGCCAATCAGAGCCGGTGGACTATGCCAGGCAGGGGGGTCGGAGAGCCTGTCCCTCAGTTGCTTGGGCCACCTCCCTCCTCCCTGGAGAGGACTTGCCCAGAGAGAGGCCTGGGGGCCGAGGTCCGGGAGGGAGATGCCAGGGCTGCCTGAGCATCTCCAGCCGGCTGGCCTGGGTAAGAAGCTGACAGGTGCCCCGGGGAGATGGACAGACACCCCCTCCCTGGGGGAGACAGACAGACATGCCCCTTGGGGGAACCCCAAGTCAGACAGACAGACACCCTGGCTCCTTGGGGGAGACAGACAGACACCCCGGCTCCCTGGGGGCTTCCGGTCTACGGGGCACAGATAACAGTTGTCAGGCAGTGGCCCTGGGAGGGGGAGCGGCAGGGTAGAAGTAGGACCACCGTTTTAGAGAAGGTGGTCGGAGACCCCGGCAGGAAGTGAGGGTATCGGGGGGAGCGGGAGCAGGGAGTGAGAGGCCCCGAGGCAGTCACACGCGGGGTCTAAGGAACAGTGGGGAGACCTCCGAGGCTGGAGCAGAGGGTGTGAGTGAGGGGCGTGTGACAAGAAATGAGGTCCCGGAGGCGGCAACAGGGAGCCAGAGGGAGAGGGGCCTCGGGGGCACCGCGAGGATCTGGCTTTTTCTGAATTAAGTGGGGAGAGGCTGGGGGTCATGAGGCCTTGGATGTGTTTTGACTGGGATCTGGGCTGTGGCATGGAGGGCAGGACGGGGGGG